CTGTCAACTTGAGTGCAACTTTGTGTGCATAATAAACAGACATGTTGTGTGTGTGTTTGTGAATATTGTTGGAAGTGTGTGTATTAAGGACTCACCTCACGCATAATTCATGAGAATTAATGTCTATTTATTTATTTTAATATTAATGAGAGGGTCTCTATGGATAAATGGTTGATGCAGACAAAGACAGGAATATGGAGTGGTGCTGCTCTCAGTCTGTAAGCTCTTTATGGGGTTTTTCAGTTTAATTGCTTCCCTGTTGTCTGCTCTCACATGCGAGTGTAGATTTAACCTATAATGACCGACGGGAGGAAGGAAAGCAAAACACGGACAGGCAGATTTGATCATTTTAAATGGCCCCCGGCTGTTGTAAGTTAAGCTTAGTTTGTGGCTGGGTGTGTTTCTTCCCAGCATCCCCAGGGTGGTGCAGCAGTGTGAATGAGAGTGCTTGTCAGCCAAAATCTGGAAGATAGGGGCAGGCTGGAGGCATGGCAAATTAAATGAGGTGGAGAAACAGTGGGATAAAAAGTGAGAGGATGATATATGGAGAGAACACAGTTCGGATAAACAGGAAACGATCGAGAGTCAGAGAGACTTTTTATTGATTGTTTACATCAAATCAGTGCTGAAATATTAAGTGGTTACTTTTATTGCTCAACTATTTCATTCTTTCTACATGCAATGCCAAATATTTTTACACTATTAAGTTGTTTTACCATTTTGTTATTGCAAAACAAAATTTTATGTAGTAACTTATTTAGAGTACATGCAATCGATCAGCGTTCAGTTTCCCACCTTTGTCGACAAAAAAAGGGTTGAAATCCTTGATGTTTTTTTTTTTATAGATCCGCCTCAATCAGAACATCATAGAATTGCTGTTTTCTGATTTCTGCTGAAGGTCTTTTCAGGTATTTCTCTGTCAGCTATTTCCATCTACAGACACAAAAACCTTACAGGATGGTTTCAGGTTTGCCAGTTGGATGGAGACTCTCTGGTTAACATTAGATGTTGAGGATCTGGACATTGATTGGAGCATTTTATGACATGGATGTGTTCTGATCTAAGCCGTTCCATTGTAGCTCTGGCTGTTTATCCTGATGGAAGGTATCTGCACTCTAATATCCAGTATTTTGCAGCCTTTAATAGATTTTTATGTATGATTAACCAACAACTCTAACCAGTAACCTGGTCCCTGCTACTAAACAGGATCCCCACAACATGATACTGTCACCACCATGTTTCAAAGTGGAGATGATGTGTTTAAAGTGATGTCCAGTTGTAGTTTTTGGCCACACAGATTTTGGATAGTAGGACAACGGTTGAACATTACTCTAAGCTAACCAGAGCATTTGTTTTTACTTGAATACTGTTTTATGTGTTTTATAGCAAACTAAGGACTCCCAGCAGAGTAATTTTTCATACACAATGGCTATGTTTGAGAATGCATAACTAAAAGTTGGCTGTTAACTGTCATATAAAAAATATCACAGTTAATCTAAACAGGAAATGATCAAGAGACAGGGTAAAAATGGAAGAGATGATTTAACAACGGATTGACAAGATCAGAAAAAGAGTCTAATGAGCCAGCTAGAAATATACAAGCTCAGACATACAGTAACTGCTTTTGCAGACTTTCTCTCAGCATTTTCGTTTAATGGTCTTAACCTACCCTCAAAACTCATTGTGTGTTTGCTTCTGTTTTTGAAAAAAATTTCTGTGTCGAGCACAATATGAATGTAATTGAACATAAGAAAACGTGAGGACTTTTATTGACTCACAGCTGCAATGCTGGGTTGGTGTCCCTTGGAAGATGTGAGGATGCTTCCAGCGGGTTTTCTGGCATCTAAAAGCGGTAAAAACAAAGTGGCAGGAGAGACAGTTACATGATCAAATCCGACAGCCTCGAGGGCAAGGGCAATGATCCATCTATGTGCTGGTGTGCCTGTTTGAGGGGGGGTAAAAACAGAGGAGAATAAATCAGAATCTGTGTTTCTTTCTTTTTGGATAGAAAATATATAAAATGCATCTGCATTGCATTAATTATTGATGTGTTGGCATTTTGGCTTTTTTTTTTTTTTTGATATTTCACCGTCTGTGTGTATTTTGGGGCCGTCAGCAGGTTCTAAAGTGGGTCCTCCAGGAGCCATCTGTCTTTAGGCTACTTTCAAACCCGTCTGCACTGCTTATGTGTGGGGGGGCGTATGTGTGTGGGTGTACTTTGTGTGCAGCTGCTAAATGTCAGACTGTGTGTGTGTGTCCAATCGCACTCAGGGAAAGGTGAAAAGAGAAAGTCAATGTGCTTCTCTATGTACCTATTTCCGCACAGTTTTTCTGTGAGTGTGTGTCTGCATCTGTGTGTATTTCTGTCTGTGTGGGTGTTTCAGATTCACTAAAACACCCCAGACCGGTGCTTTCTTGACTGGCAGCCAAATCTCTGTTTATTCTTGTCTGCAGATTTGTTCATGCTGTTTTTGTTTTTCCACCCAGTGCTGAAGCAACCGAATTGAAGTCAAAAGGAAAATATTCCCTTTCCTTTTGCTCCTGCTGAGATGCACCTTCATCTTCAAATATCCTCAGAATATCTTTATTGCTTTGAAGAGAAAAGTTTGAAATCTAATTTTGCTTTTTAAGATCTTTATAAGACCCATCATATGGGAGTAAATCTGAGTAGATTCTATCTTCTTTCACATTGAAAGGCATGATTTTAGATAATACACCAGTATGCCCCTTTTCACATCAACTACACGTATTTCCTAGTTGGCTTATTTCCCTGTAATTAAAAGCTCTTTTAAAGAGTCTCTAGTCATTCGAATCTGATTTCCTCACAACACATATTCTTTCAATACAGGGGGTCTGTTGACAGACTGTTGACAGACCTTCTATATGAGTATTGACTCCAGAGAAGGGGCTGGAAATCAATAATAGATCTATACACACAAAACTGCTAAACAAGATTGTTGGTTTAATTTTTCATATTATTATTGTTGTAAATTGAAAATACAAATTACATTGATCTCTGTCAAACGATTAATCAAAAATGGCACTTTTTATTATTCTTCCAAGAATGAGAAAGGACAAGTATACATAAAAACCAGGGTCTCATTTCTCCCAGCTCTGCTCTAGACAAAGATGTTGCTAACTTTTATAGCTCCTTTGTGCTTTACGGTGTCACTTGCAGCAGTTTGGATAAACAAAGACAAATGGTAGTTGTGTTATCAGATGTGCACCGGAGAGGCCATTCTTTCACAGTTAAACTAAAACACTGTATCAGTGAAAGAGACAAGCTTACAGCGACCTAAAAGCTGAGCTGGCAAATGTAAATGTACCCCGAATAAACACTTTTCACAGAAAACAAAACCGATTTAGAGCACATGTAAAAAAGTTTATACTTAGATCACCTAAATCCAACAAATGCAATGCAGACATGGTTTGATAACCAAAGCATAATGTTAACTTTGTGATTTGATCAATTTAGTTTGCTTTTTTTATTTTTTATTTATCTATTTATTTTTTTTAATCAGAGATGTTTTACTTTGCCGCCATATCTCACTTCCAGTCTGCATCAGGACATTCCCATCCAATGCAGATGCCTGGCCATAGATAGTAATGTTTTTGGAGAATCGCCGGTGGCCTGAAGGACCCTCTTTCACTTAAACTTGTTCTTTTGTCAGATCCACTGTTTTTTGGGGTTCATAATAGCGACTGCATGTTGTAACCAAGCTTTTTATTTTCACTGCTTGCATTATGATCTTTTTTAAAGCCTCATTTTCCACAACTAAGCATCTAACCTTCATATGTAAGCACGATGTAAGTTACTTTAACATAATAAACATAACAAATTAACCCTCTCATGCATGAATTATGATAAGTTAAGACAGGATTTTTACTAAGTGTTTTATACGTTCTTATGAATGTAAAACAAGGTTTGAAAACAATTATTTTTTTTATCTTTAACGTATAAAGAAATATTTATCTGTTCATTCAAACGTACTTTATGCAATGTATACTTATTACGAAATCAATATCAAAGTAGTTGCATAGCAGTTGTAATTTAGTTTTACAGTTCTGATATAGTATACTGTCGGAATGGTGGTTCCTCTACTCCCCTGTAGAAACCAAAATAGCCAAAGTGTTTGGTCTTTTTCATCTGGGATTCCCTGACTTTTTTTTCCATTGCATTGATCAAAAAATGGAATTGTTCTGTATGGGATGATGCAATTCATTCCACTAGATTGGACTATATGCATAAATGCCCAAAAGTGAAGAAAGGGTCGACATAATCTTCTGTGAACCTGGGCTGCAATAAAGATCTGTGAGCCAAGCTAAAATGTTCTGTCTGCTGCAGGGAACCAACCAAACCAACCTTTACAACATTGTTAATGGCCACAGCAAGCAGAAAGAAACAGATAAAAGCCCCAAAGAATTCAAACTTGTGCACCTTTTTAGCGTTTTCAAACATTATTGAAGCATTTTGCGGTATAATAGCTGTTTCTGAATGAAAATAAAAAAAGGTTTTGGATAAATACTTAACTCTCTACCACAAATTAACTACGTTTACATTCGATTCTTTTCAGCATTGTCATCTGAGAACTTTTAATATCATCCTACATTGTATTTGCCCTGCTGTGGCGTCCAACACTGAAATGTTACACCTCATTTACACTGAGAACTCATTTATATTCTGATTACTGAGTCACTAATAACCAAGTACAATGTAATGTATTTATTCACATCTGTTTTATGCTGACTGTTGTATAAAATGGGGTTAAAAAAAACCCGCTGTTGGAAACTGTCATATACAAGTCTTATGTTTAAATTTAATCTCCATGTTTACATTTTATCACTGTTGCACTTTGTCTTTAGCGCTGTACTGAACAGAATTTCTTTTTTTATACACTCTGTGTGTACAAAATGACAATAAATAAAATAACAATAAAGTCTGTCTAAGTCGAATTTTTTTTATTACTGTGTTGACTGATGATTTGTATGTGTTGTTTCAGGTGACCGATGTGAGTTTGACCGGAGGCAGGGTCACTGTGTACCCGGCGTCTGTCGCAATGGAGGAACATGCCAGGAGCTTTCTGGCGGAGGTTTCCGTTGCAAGTGTCCCCCAGGAGCCTATGAGCACCCTTACTGCACCGTCACCGCCCGATCCTTCCCGCCAAAATCCTTTGCTATGTTTAGGGGCCTCAGGCAGAGATTCCACCTCTCCATCTCACTAAGGTCAGTAAATGAAGGAGTTTAAAGCTTGCCATTAGGATGTCGTTCTTTGTAGTCAGCTTTTTGTCTGCTTCTATTTCTCATCATCCTGCCTCACTCAGACTGAGATCCATAACCACTCCTCTGTGATTCTCATTTCTCTTACAGAGTATCTTCTACTTAATCTATTTATTTAATCTCGGTGCGAGATCGATCCTCTAACTCATCTTTTTCTCCCTTTACCAACTCTTTCCAATGAGAAGTGAGCTTTCCCCACACACCCCTCTTTCATCCATCAATTTACTGGCTTCACTGTCTTCTCTCCTTCCACTTTGAGTTCTTATCTTACATCTGATTTCCCTTTTAGTCTCCTATCCTTTAGGCAGTGACTTAAACATGGTGACCTCATCCCTTTCACATTAGATGGGGAAAATGAAAAGCTTGCTTATCAGAGTTCCTAAAAGGTCTTTTTTAGATACTCCTTTATGGCTTTCCAATTTATTTAACCAGAATAGGAAAAAAATAGAGGATTTCTTTCAACTTTTGTAATTTAAATTAATCATTTAAAGTTTTATTGACATTGTTTATTACCAAACTACCAATAAACCATAGTTTCTAGCCTTGCTTTGTCTGATATTAACGAACTCTAAGGCTAATCTACTCTACGACCCCCACAGTCATTTGTCTGCAGCCTCTTAACATACCAATTAGTTCTCTAAGGGAGATCTCAAGTGATTTTTAGGAGTGGTCATGCAGGATTATGGGATGGTTGCCATGGGTGAAGTCATCTAATGATAGTTGCCAAGGTGATTTTGCCCATGGTTTGTTGCTAGGCTGATATAGCTACCATTAGTGGTTTCTGGGAGATGTGTCCGTCTGGGCAGCTTAAAGCGCTACAGCTAATATGATGTATTGATTTGTGGCCACTGTTTGTGTGAAGATGATAAGTGGAGGAATAAAGTGAAGGGTTAACATGGGGACTTTCTTCGCGAGAGTCTTAATTTATGAACTCTTAACAAATCTGTTGCCATTACTCTTTAACAGAAGGTTGACTGATTGGTGGCAGGTTAATATTCCCAGGATGGTTAGTACAGTAATGTTGTGTTACAGCAATATTTCGCAATAGACATGTGTCATACAAAATTGTTGCTTATTGTTTTCTATCTTTGCTTGTCGGCAATTAAAATGACTCCTTAAAACATTATAAAGATATCAAGATATGGTTCGAAAATAAAATCATTTTTCAAGTTAGGCTATTTCAATGTAAGTCCACATATGTGAAAGAACAGTGGTCTTTTTTGAGAGCAACATTAGTTGCTCTAAAAAAAAAAGTCCTTTGAATATCACTGAATATCACAGGGGTAAAAATCATCTTAAGAAGTATTCTTTAGGGTATGATACTAATGAAGAGACTCCAGAATTGGAATTTAATCCTCCTGTTCTTTAGTTTTTGCTCATAAATGAACAGCAGGATTTATACCACCTATATATGATGAAGGGATTACTTGTCTGGGAAAACAAACAGGGAACTACATTAAATAAAAGCAGAGAAAAGCCTTTCCAAGCCTGCAGTAAGATCATTCATCTTTTACTTGTTAAGAAGTTGAAGCAGGGCTTTATAGTTTTTACGGTACGACTGGTTGCCATTATTTGAAGGCACAGTCAAACAATAGACAAAACATCCTAACAAAAAGATTTATTGCATGAACTAAAAATGTCATGAGAGCTGTTAGACAGAAGTGGTTTTCAGATAAAATGGCCCGTTTTATTCTTTGTTCAAAGTTTGTGCAATTTCATTTCCTTAATGCTTTATTATCAAAAACCGATTCAATGAGTACATTTATTGGCTACATGCAGCAAACAGTGTTACAGTACTCATCCTGGAATATGTTTCCTTTACAGGTGCTGGTCATAAAATTAGAATATCATGAAAAAGTAGATTGATTTCAGTAATTCCATTTAAAAAGTGAAACTTGTATATTATATTCATACATTACATACAAACTCATATATTTCAGATGTTTATTTTGTTTAATTTTGATGATTACAAATGACAACAAATGAAAATCTCAAATTCATCATATCAGAAAATTAGAATATTGTGAAAAGGTTCAAAATTGATGGCCCCTGGTGCCACACTCTAATCAGCTAATTAACTCAAACCACCTGCAAAAGCCTTTAAATGGTCTTTCAGTCTAGTTCTATAGGCTACAAAATCATGGGGAAGACTGCTGACTTGACAGTTGTCCAAAAGACGACCATCGACACCTTGCACAAGGAGGGCAAGACACAAAAGGTCATCGCTAAAGAGGCTGGCTGTTCACAGAGCTCAGTGTCCAAGCACATTAATAGAGAGGCGAAGGGAAGGAAAAGATGTGGTCGAAAAAAGTGTACAAGCAAGAGAGATAACCGCACCCTGGAGAGGATTGTGAAACAAAACCCATTCAAAAATGTGGGGGAGATTCACAAAGAGTGGACTGCAGCTGGAGTGAGTGCTTCAAGAACCACCACACACAGACGTATGAAAGACATGGGTTTCTGCTGTCGCATTCCTTGTGTCAAGCCACTCTTGAACCACAGACAGCGTCAGAAGCGTCTTGCCTGGGCTAAAGAGAAACAGGACTGGACTGCTGGTGAGTGGTCCAAAGTCATGTTCTCTGATGAAAGTAAATTTTGCATTTCCTTTGGAAATCAAGGTCCCAGAGTCTGGAGGAAAAGAAGAGAGGCACTTCATCCACGTTGCTTGAAGTCCAGTGTAAAGTTTCCACAGTCAGTGATGGTTTGGGGTGCCATGTCATCTGCTGGTGTTGGTCCATTGTGTTTTCTGAGGTCCAGGGTCAACGCAGCCACATACCAGGAAGTTTTAGAGCACTTCATGCTTCCTGCAGCTGACCAACTTTTTGGAGATGCAGATTTCATTTTCCAACAGGACTTGGCACCTGCACACAGTGCCAAAGCTACCAGTACCTGGTTGAAGGACCATGGTATCCCTGTTCTTAATTGGCCAGCAAACTCTCCTGACCTTAACCCCATAGAAAATCTATGGGGTATTGTGAAGAAGAAGATGCAATACACCAGACCCAACAATTCAGAAGAGCTAAAAGCCACTATTAGAGCAACCTGGGCTATCATAACACCTGAGCAGTGCCACAGACTGATCGACTCCATGCCACGCCGCATTGCTGCAGTAATACAGGCCAAAGGAGGCCCAACTAAATACTGAGTGCTGTACATGCTCATACTTTTCATGTTCATACTTTTCAGTTGGCCAACATTTCTATAAATCCTTTGTTTTTATTGGTCTTCAGTAATATTCTAATTTTCTGATATGATGAATTTGAGATTTTCATTTGTTGTCATTTGTAATCATCAAAATTAAACAAAATAAACATCTGAAATATATGAGTTTGTATGTAATGTATGAATATAATATACAAGTTTCACTTTTTAAATGGAATTACTGAAATCAATCTACTTTTTCATGATATTCTAATTTTATGACCAGCACCTGTATATATAAAAATATCTGCACAGGAGAGACAACATATTCTCATTATCAGTTAGTATGAAATCGTACGAAAAGTTATGCACACTATTTCGTACGTTTTGGATGTTTTTCCTCAAAAAACCAGATCAGTGCGCATGTGCTGGCAGACAGAAAAAAAAGCAGATCCGCGGAGGGACGTACTGGGAAAAACAGTGCAATCATCACTTATTCATGTCTCTAACTACGTTGCTTGCTGTTTTATATCTTAGGGTTAGGGTCAAGGTTAGGGCTAATTGTAATTTATATTCTATGTTCGTGAATGGTGCGTCAGATTAGCATGCGCATACGACGAAAAAAACATCCAAAATGTACGAAATTACGGTGCATAACTTTTTGTACGATTTCATACGAACTCATAAAGATAATACACTGGGAGAGAGCTAAGGAAAGCATACACACTGGTTGACTTGGGTTATTGCACTTGCACTGCAGAAATGCACTGACGTTATAAATAATTGAAAATTACACAGACTACACAGTAGTTGACATCTGTTATTGCACAGTGAGAGAGAATAATATTGCATGAGTGAAAATGGGTAATGTTTTGCACAAGATGTCCAAGGAGGTAGGTGTTGACCCTTTGAACCTTTTCCTATCACCTCCATCTCCTTCCCCCAAGTGAGGAGTTGAACAGCTAATATTTGCCATAAAGATGTGTTGCTGTTTTTTAAACTGTTTTTGTAAATTTTTTACCCCCTTCTTTGCACTGAAATGTGGGTTACTGACAAAGCTAAATAATATGGCAACTTAACAAAAGCAAAGTCGATAATCATTTTAGATTAGATGCAATATTGCAAGACTGTTACTGTTGCCAAGGACAACAAAATAAAACTATAATTTTCTGAGACCAAATGATGACTTGTTTTTCTGTAGTTGCAGCTAAACTCAGCAGTTTAAAACACCTATGCAACATTTCAACAATAGCGCCTGATTATTTGCCCTGCTGGGATTGTTGCTTAGATATTAATTATTAATGTAAGCGAAATAATAACGGTTTGTGTTAAAGCAGTTAAAATGATTTTAGCGTTTATAGAAAGAAATGGTAATAATGAGGCTAGATGGTAAAACTAGTTAGATACACTAAGTGCGGGAAAGAGCCGAAAAACAGGCACCACAATGGTAGTTTTTAAGAGGGTGATATAGCAATGCTGCAACCCCAACTGTCAGTTATCCTCTTCTACTTTAGCAGGTTGTTTAGCAACCTGCTTAACAAATTCTGTTTAGCAGAACAAAAATTTATCTGAAGGGTATTTTATTTGTTACTAACTGGGTCGCATTATTGATGCTGCTGCTCTGCTGAGCTGAAATATGAAAACAAAAGGTTTTACCTTGAGGTAGAAATGTATTTACAGTGGAGTTGGGGGAAAAGGGTATATCCACAGCTTATTTTATTTTTTTCTCCAGAAATATAATTTTTTTCAGCTGTGCTTGAAGTCATTAAAGGCTTGTTGAACTGAACCAGTTTTAGGAATATGAAATTGAAATGAAAACATAATATTTATTTATGCAGTTTCATTGCTTTTGGGAATAAGTCACTTCATTTTGATGCAGAGTTAGAATAATACATTTCCCCCAACAGTAATTACGCTCACTAGAAGATGTAAAGCATGCTTATTTGCATGTGTTTACTCCCTCTGCTTCTGTGCATCTCTGAAATGTTAACTCCACAAACAAAGGTTAGGTTGCTTCTTTTATCAGCTGTTTCTAGAAGCATGTAGAGATTAGATTTGAATGTATTAAAAAATGGCATAATGACACAAAAGTCGCATGAGAATGAGCGTTTTTCTAGAAAATAATTTACATAAGGTTTGATACCTATCATTCCGAACTATGCTCGATTAAAATTAACATCTGCACAGTTATGTTCCCTCATATTTAGAATAAGGGGAACATCACATCAGAATTGCAAAATAATTGTAAACCGTATATATCTACAGTAGTAGCCATTCAAAATTTTCCCACTTTCTTTGATGGACCCTTGACTGGTCCTTGCCTGGTCCCCTACAATTCCTTTCTAAACATCAATCTTTGTACTGAAGTATTCTTTCTGTCATGATTTGTGGACATTAAGGTCTAAAGAGAAGCGTCATCTCCTGGTCAGACCCTGTAATTAAGTGAAAGGGTGGAGTCAGTGTAAGAAAATATATATATATGCAATATATATATTCGCAGGAAAAGAAGGGGGTCATGGGGATATGGTTGGAGTTGCAGGGAAGTGGGCTGCCATTCAGCTGGCTTTCGACTGGGAAGGGCCATTTTGAATGGCTGCTACTGTATTTACCTGCTAGAATAACAATCTGTAACAGTATTTTCTTATGATTTTTTATGGATGAACTAGTAATCCAGTTTCTAGGGTTTCTATGCAAGGCATTATGAACTTATGATATTTGTGGAGTCTAAAGTTTAGTTTAGATTTCAGGTGGGTATATCCATTTAATCTTACTAATAGGAGAGAGAAAATCCCTGTTCTTTACCAGTAACTTGATGTTAGATAATAGTGAGAAATATTACAGGAGCATTTTTACTATGTGTGCATATGATTTTAAAACTCTCTATATAGAGAACTTTTATACCATCTCTTTAACAAAGGATACAACTTAAGAAGTTTCTAAAAATGGTTTGCATGTTCACTTAAGTTAATTTTATTGCAGTTCTCCGATCTTGCATTGAAAAATTTAGAAAATCACAAACATAGCTTTCATTTAAAAGATATTTAACCTCAAGGCAGCTTACAAAGGGTGTTTTATTATATAACTAAAAATAGCATGTAAGTGGAAATCTAATAAAAGTACAAATGTTTCATATTCTTAAAGAAAATGCTTCTTTTAGGATTTTGTTACAAATGTATGGCTTAGTTTTTAAAGTTTTAATCTGATGATTATAGTTTAAGCTTAGTAGGTTTATCTCTAAAAACTAATAAGCAGTATATGAACACCATCTAAAACCCTTTTCTTAGCTTTTTTTTGTATTGACATTATCAAATATCTATATGAGAAAAAGCTAACATTAATAAGCTGTGCTCTAGAATCTCATTTAACATTCGCAGAACTAACTCACTCACATGTTAACCTTAAAGAATAGATAGATCCTAACTGTAAACCATATACTGTATATCCTAAAGATTCCAATCAATAGCAAAAGTAACATCCATAAGAACCTTCTGATCTCTTTTCAGCCTTCCTGTCATCTCCTTAAAGCCTCGGCCTCACATCGACAAAATTAACCAGACAGGCAAATTTAAACATGTCACAGAAAATACAGCTTGCATTTAAATGGTTTCTCACTTCTGTGCTGTCTCCAAAAATCTGACTGGTTGTTGTATTTATGTGTTTAATAATTTCCAAAAAGGTCTGCTTTTGTAGTTCCTGACTGGCCTTTTACCAATCAGTTCTTATCATGCTATATAATCTGCTAATTCCAAGCAGCTGAAAACAGCCATACTTACAGGCACTTCTAACAGTTGATGTATGGTAAATGGTAGGTACAGTTTATCTGAATACAGAACAGGGTTAGTCGGTTGTAAAAGAAGATAAAAGGAAAATTTCCTTTGTATATTCCTGCTGCTGAAATAAAAAAAACAAAAAAACAATTAAAATTTTGTGATTTTTACTCGCTTTTAACATTGGTACCAATAAAGGTCTAGGATGCTCCACATATGTTTCATCAGTGATTGAATTTATTTTCAGCTTATTCAAATCATATTAAAGCATTATCAGGCTGTGTTATGACGGAAAGAGATTCCTGCTTCTAGGATATTGGTTGTAATGTATAAATGTATTGCAAAAAACTAGAATGATGTTTGTGCAATAATTCTTGCTGAATGGATCCTATTTATGTGTCTCTTGTCTAGTTTTGCTACCCTTGAGAAAAGCGGTCTTCTTTTCTACAACGGACGCTTCAATGAGAAGCACGATTTCATTGCTTTGGAGCTTCAAGATGGACAACTGGTCTTCAAATATTCCACAGGTACCTCATCAGGGCTATGCCAGCACTGTTTACATTGCCTGAACAAAGCATTGCGGGAGGGTGAATATAGCCAATAAGTCCACTGTATTTTTCTCATAAGGCTCTATTTTTTTTCTTGTCTGCCATGAACGTGTGCAGACTGTGGAAAGAAAATTTCCCCGCAGGGACCATATGTAATAATCTGTCTTCTTGTGCCTCTTGGGAGGGAATGCTTTGAGTCAGAACAAAAACAGTAATGTTATTAAATTTAATTTCTGTTACTTTTCACATTGAATCGCCTATATATCTCTAACATCCTAAATACCATTAGTATATGCTTTATTCTTAAAAATAAACAGTGATTAATAAGTTCACTTGGTCTAGTTAAATCTTCCTCCATCTGCCTGCAGGTGAATCGTCCACTCAGGTGAGCCCCTTCTTACTTGGTGGCGTGAGCGATGGAAACTGGCATACGGTTCACATCCATTACTACAACAAGGTGCGTTCACCACACATCACAGCCGTTCTCTACAATTTTTATTCCTCCACCTACATCTGATCTAGAACACCTTTCACAGAGCAAATATTTCAGTTTGCATTTCACTTGTTGTTGTTTGCTCTTCTGATGCGTTGGCAGGAAAGTTTTTTTTGCCAACAAAGCCCTTTGATTTGAGATGATGTGTTTCTGTCTGTGTTTTTTTTTTATGTGGGCGTTTGCTTGTCTCCGATATATCCATGCATATTCGCTGCACATCTTCTTTAATTTTCTTCATTTTTTTTTTGCTTAATTTTCCTCAGCCAGCTACACGCTATGTGAGTATGAATGTGTGTCAGGGTGTACAAAAACCATCCCTCTTCCCTAACTTCTCTATTCTGTCTTTCTTTCCCTTTTTTTGAAACAAAAAAACCCTATAGGAAAGTTGGCAATTGTCTTCTGCGTGCTACTACGTGTTCTGCTATTATGTTTTCTTTTATCCTGCTTTTATTTCTTGTCACACTAACACTGATTTTCTCCCTGTCCTATTAACATTTTGCACAGTTGCACATTAGTTACGGTGCTGAAACTGATTTGTATTTGATGATTTAAATTCTTTAACAAATATAGGCTGCTCTTTTCCCTGCATGTCACCTTGTCTTAACACATTTCTTTACTTTGGATTTATCTTTGGATTGCTATTTAAACTAGCATGTATTATGTATGTGTTCAGCCCAGACGCAGTTTGATCGGAGAAGCCCAAGGTCCATCGGACGAGAAGATAGCCGTGGTGAGCGTCGATGATTGTGACACAGCTCTCTCGCTTCGCTTTGGTTCACAGCTTGGAAATTATAGCTGTGCTGCACAGGGCAAACAAACCAGCAGCAAGAAGTGAGTTTTTGTCTTTTCTCTTTGTTTATTTATTGATTTGTTTCATTTTCTCTGATTATGAAAACAGATATGTATTTGGAGCAGAGGTTAAAACAACCAAAAAAAAAAAAAAAACTTGTTTTAAAAAAATATATTACAGTAGCAGCCATTCAAAATGACCTTTCCCAGTCAAACGCCAGCCGAATGGCTGCCCACTTCCATGCAACTCCCAGCAGAAGCCCCTCCAAGACACCTTCCAGACACTGGAGTGACCTCCTCTTGCATATTTTTTTACTTTGACTCCACCCTTTAACTAATTTACAGGGTCTGACCAGGAGATGGGGCTTCTCTTGATGCTGCATTCACACCAAAAGCAGCAAAGGCAGCAAAAACGTGCATGCTGCTTAATTTTTATGCTTGGAGCGCAGAAAAAGTGGAAAAGTGGGTCTGATGCGTGTCGGGCAGAGCTACCCTATCATTTCTTTGCCTGTAACAATGGCAGCTATATTTGCTGTGATAAGTGGGTAAAAAGTAGTTTTAATGTTTTTTAAGTGAGAAAGTCCGCCTGAAAACTTAATCAGTTCAGTCAGTTTATCCAGATTACCATTCTGCCTTGAAATATTGTTTTTCGCTATCGGAGCCGCTCAGACCCCCACATACCGGAGGTGCGCTGTCATTGGGAATCCCATTTAACAGCAGCCTCTGGCCAGGTCATCTCTTTGCGGTTTGCCGCGGTGGGTGGAAGGGGTTTTTCATGTACGTAATCGAAACTGCAGGCACCAGGATAATAAAAGCGAACATGTTTTGCCGGCAGATTTCGGCACCTGTTCACTCTTGAAAAGGTTGTATAAAAAGTCAACCGTTTTCTTGATTAAAGAATGAAAACCAAGAGTTCAAAGGAACTGAAAACTGTTGACAGTTTGAGACCCCCTAAAAGGACATGCTTTCCCCTATTCCACTCTACTAATTAATTAATTTAATTTAAATTAAATTCTTATATGTTTAGTTAGTGAATTTATTTTCAGTGTGCTGAGTGGAAACCTCTAAATGGTCTCCAACCCTAGGCTTTTAGTGGTGTTTACAGTGTCGTGGCTCAGATACCTTTCATCAAATGTGGTCTTGGACTGATCAGAGGCTTGGCATTTATTCAAAGGCAATTTCCACAAAGTAACTGTTGTAAGTGTGTGCGCCAACTGGAACTAGGTCTCTAGATTATAGTTTTTTTTTATTTGTTGTAACAAAGTATTTGTTTGTTTGTTAAGGCAAATATCTGGCATATATTGAGTTGTTGTTTTATGGTATGTGTAAAAAAGTTTTCTTACTTTTAAAAGAACTGTATTTGTATTTCTGAATCTAGACAATCACTGATACAAAGTACTTTAGTTGCTTGGTGTTATTTCCTTTTACCGTACATAAAAGCCCACTGAATTTTTTTAACTAGACTTTAAAAATCAGATAAGTAAAATTTTTTCTTGTGCCCAGTAATCAAAGAAACAAAAACAAAAAAACAGTAATAGAATAATGAAGCACAGATCATTGCTGTCTAATCTGTTTGAGCTCTGCCCTGAAGACCTTGGAAGATGATCTTTAGGTGATGATGAGACTATAGAAGGCTTTTTGGAGACCTAAGGCATTGATACTAAGGCAAAATTATTTCCATGTTTTTTTTAATTAACTTCTCTGCCTGACTGGTGTTAACAATCATTTATTTGTCACAAGATCCTGATTGTGGGCATAAAGAAAAACTGTTTTTCACTTAAAAAAATATATATATGACACAGCATGTGTCATAAAACTTAACCTAAATAGTAAATGTATTACACCACTGTATTAAACGTTTCTGTGAAGGCCTCTAAGGTTTATTAGAAACACAGGTGAACAAACATCATCAATGAGAAGCCCCTAAGGTAGTTAAAGGATCAGGTGGGATTATTTGCCAACAGGGCAAAACGCTGTGTGTGGTGAAAACAAATATCTTTCACTGAAACATGGTGGTGGCAGTATCATGCTTGGTTCGGAATTATCATGGGTTCAAATGGACCAGTAGCAAGGCTTAATTTTTTTTTTTCAGATGATCTCCAATCAGCTTCAAGCAGAATCAGTATAAAGGTTTTCCTAAATGATCCCAGCTTGTAGAAACTCTTAAAAAGACCTGCAGCATGTTTTGCAGTGCTTAAAGGATTTTATTTGCTGAATAGATTTAATATCTGGTATTATTTCATGTAACAATTATGGGACACATACTGCAGTTGTATAAACTAAGCTCCCAATAATAAACATTTAAGTCAGTGGCTGTAATAGAACAAAATGTGAAAAACATCAGGAGGTATAAACAGCTTTACAAACCCAGTATATAATGTAGAGTGTATTTTTCTGATTTGCTAAACATAGTGCTTTACCCCAGAAGCATTGAGATGCACCAACAAGTGCATAAAGCCCAGACAGTAGATGCATGGTCACATTTTCACAAAGCGTCGTGCCACAGTGTGAATCTCTGTTCTCCCTACATAATCTCCTACCAAGCTGTCCTGTCAGCTCCAGATGAAACAAAAAAAAAGAATAAGAAACAGAACAAAGATGAAGGTCGAAGACTCACACTTCAACACGGTTTTTCTTTTCCATTTATCCATTAGCAGCTCAGCCTCCGCTGACTCAGACACCACATCCTTTCCTAATGTCTGTCTGCTAATATTTGCTCCGGCTGTTACTTAAGCTTTCGTTGATTCTGTGCAATCATTTGTCCTCTGGCTTTTATTAAACATTTTCTATGGTTATCCGTTTCTTAGCATACAGCGCTTGTTGTCATAGTCCTTAGGAAAATCTAAGCTCACTCTCCAGTAAAGACATAAACACATAAATGCTCACAGACAGTACAAGAATGAAAATCCTATTTTCTTTTACCCGACAGAGCTGTAAATGTACTTCCTTCAGTATTGTCGTTCTCACATAGTTTTTTCCTCCATCAGTCTCTTTATCCACCTCACTCTTTCCCCTCTCCCATCTTTGAATTCAACTTTAATCTTTTATTTGTTTCTCCAGTCACATCCACAGGGATCTATGATCACTTGCTATATTTTAGTGTCCATTAACATCTTCAGTACCTCACATTTTACTTTTCATAGTATCGACCACCTCTCCAGAGATTTGCTCAAAGCATGTTTAATCCATTGCATGTTCTGCACCTGTCTTCGCATGCCTCCTCCTTATCAAGCTCCAATGTTAATGTTAAAAGCATCAGAGCAGTATACATTTATTTCTTTGGTGCTTAGAATATTCATTTCAAAATCTCATATATTTTTTTTAAGTTTACCTTTGATGCCACATTTAATCTGGATTTTGTAAATCCCTTACCCCACATATGCTCTCCTCTTACATTCCAGGCTCTTTTTTTCCCATCCGTCTCCTTCATCTTTTACGAATAATCCTGTTTTTATGGTCTTAAACGTTTTTTCCCCCCCCTTTCTTCTCATTCCTGCTCTTGTTTCTTAGGTCTCTGGATCTGACTGGCCCTTTATTTCTGGGGGGAGTCCCTAATGTGCCTGACAACTTTCCCTTTGGCAGCAGGGAGTTTATCGGTTGCATGAAAGACCTGCACATTGACAACAAAGCACTGGATCTGGCTGGATTTATTGCCAACAATGGGACACTTTCTGGTCAGTGCTACTACTCTCATGTGTTGCTTAAAAAATTATCATTATTATTCGATAATGATAATTTATTTTCCCCATAAAAACAAAAATTCTTACCTGGCCCTTTAAACAAATGGCAGTAAACGAAGGTTATATTAATATTTGTAAAAGTTTTCATTATTATAAACACAATTTGCAGAGAACCTCACATGGGATGGTTCTATCTAATTAATGTTCTTTAGAATTTAACGATATAAAGCTAGATTTTGATCATTAGAAAATATTGTGGATTTATAGGATGTATCGCTAACTGTCTTTAAAGCAACAAGAAAGTGCATGATTTAATCACAGAATATTTCTAGAGGTGTAGGAGTAAAGGTTGAACATCAGTTGTTCATTTAGTAAAGTTTAAATCCAAGATGCAAATAAACTCTGTGTTGTTAAAAGTGTATTCCTTTTTTAAAATACAGTTTCATTGCTTAGATACAGTCTTCTATTCAGTTAGTAAAGGTCATTTAGTCATGTTACAGTTGATTTCACAGAGGTTTTGGAAGGTTGAGTATTTTAACTTAAAAATTAATGCTGTCTTCGTTAAAAAATAAAAAAATCTGCTTTAGAAATATTTTGTGTCTCTCATCCACACTGAAAAAAGTTCCTTTTTGGTGCAGTAAACTCTAATAGAGTATTTGTCCTAATTTCTAAATACTAGAGTTTTTGAAATAAAAATTATTTTTTTTTTTATGTAATACATGAATTTTGGGGAAAAAGTAAGTGTTTGTTAGACTTCCTTATACTATTTAAATGTTTAATAGCGGTATAAACACAAACAAATAAACCTCAAAATACTACATAAACTTTACATTAGAAATATAGCGTTTTGAAACGCACGTACGGTGCATGCGCACTGTAGGTCACAGCAGGACTGATTCTGTTCAGAGTCCAGACGTTACAGGATCACACACAGAGCAGTCGCGACAGCAGTCATTTTGGCAGGGAGCTACGGTCCTGCAAAAGCCTTCTCGCTGCTCATGGGACTGATATATGCCCTGAACTTGGTATACCCCTTCCACTCTGCTCGACACTTTGTCTTCCAAAAACTTTTCCTGGAGTTGGATGTATTTAAACTGTCCCCAAAAGTAAACAACCTGAAGTTGAAGATGCTTTCCTAAATGCATTCATGACTTGACTACATGACAAAAATGTGGCATCAAATGCCAAAAATTAGCAGTGGGTTCCAGTTAATTTTAGTGGAAGGTAACCTGTCATTTATGTTTTTGATTTTTTGTCAAATATGTTATATGTTATATTGCAAAAAATAACAGATACCTTTATTCAAATATCTAGTAGAGATTTTTTTCTTCATTGAGAATAGTTAGACAGTTTAAGCTGTTAATTTTTAATTGTGTTGATTTTGTTTTCATTAATATCGTAATTGAATTCTTAAAAGTCCACTTGTCTGGACGATTGGTTTAAATGTTAAAATTGCACTTTTTCATTGTTTATAAGATTCTTTTATTGCATATTTGAGTAGTGACTAAATTACCAGATCTGTTTGGATGTGATGTGTATGAAATACTGTTTATTTGTTGTTTACAAGTCATACAAACCTAATGGTTTTTTTTTTCGGTACAAATTCTAATGCAGTATAAAATAATGCACTTTTACTATTAATGCTATATTTGTACATGCTTTTTTTTTCATTTAAATAGAGACATACAATGTACTCATCTTGTGGGGGAAAAAAAACAAATACAAGAAAGATGTGAATTTTAGAAAGAAAAAGAAACTATATGTGAAAAAATTTTTGTTGCTGGACAGCTAAAAACATGTTAACCAAATTGTCGAAATAGTTTGTTTTTGGAGAAAATTCATAACCTTAAGTATAAACATGTTTCTGAGATAGTATCCCTATTTTATAAAAAATACTATAGAGAACTAGAATGCGAAGGTTATTTAGAAAAAAAAGGCACCTATAACAAAAAGTAGTCAGGAAATTAAAAAAAAACAACCAGTTGGTTTATAAAACCACTTTAAAAGACCTCCTGAAAGGCTAAGCAACTAATGAACATAATCAAAGCTAATAGAAAGCCAGCCTTTTTAAAACCTGAGTATAAAAATCTAAAACTCCACGTCCGATTGCCAGGTTTGCATATTTAAAACACCATTTAGTCGACAATTATTCACTAAGCCTATTTAGTAACATTATGGAGCTAGAATTTAGTCACAAATAAACCGTAAAACATAGAAAATGCTCATTGATACTGACAGCAGTTAAACTTTCAAGATGAGTTACCATGTCTGTATTAAGCAACTAAAACATGAGCTTTTCCTTATTGATCTGCAGTGCTGTATGAGTTGCATGTCTGCGGCATTTTATGAATGACCTTTCATAGTTGTGTTTTTTCTTTTTTTTCTTTTACAGGTTGCAGTGCCAAACACCCATTCTGTAAGTCTAACCCATGTCAAAATGGGGGTACCTGCAGGGTAAGCTGGGAGACCTTCTCCTGTGATTGTCCTCTAGGATATGGAGGAAAAGATTGCAGCCATAGTAAGAGCCTTCAATTGTTTATTTCCTGCATTACTATTAACCGTTACAGTGATGGTAGTTTGATATAATATATACATAGTGGACTAATTATGGGTAATTATTTCATGGGATCTTACCCATTTAAAGTAATTCAACTAACAAATAAAATAGGGTCTTGTGCATGTTTAGGCTAAGCAACACTACAGTATTATCAGTTCGACTTGATCTCTTTAGCTGCATTTCCAGAACAACATTCATTAATTTGCACTTTCTTTTGTTCTTGCTACATTTACCTACTGAGCTTTTATATTAATGTATTTTACAGCTGAAAGCTTTGGAAAAATTTAAGACTGCTTGATTGTATGAGTGGAAGCATTTTCATCACTAGAGTTTTATTATATGTGGATGTCGATTAAAAAGAAAAAGGCAATAAAACACCACTGGGTAATTATACGTATGCTAGAAACTTTCAGAAACCTTCCCTTTGAGATATACACTCTGGAAAAAGCGGTTTTACTTATTGGGTATGATTAGATGTAAATAAACACCCTGATTCCCCATTTAGTTGATGCCACTTGTTTAGTTGTTTTTTTTTTTTTATCTGTAGGTAAATTATGTTGTAAAGCACCCTTGTTTTTGTATCTTTAAGCAACACTGTGTACATTTTAGCAACTAGGGGTGCTAGACCTTTAACTTCCAGGTTTCCATCTCTAAGGCTAGGAACGATGCACTTTGCATAATTAAACAGTCTCCTACCTTGTCTTGATATCTGGTAGCAGACCACTTTGGACCAGCAGATGTAAAAGAAATACTGGTAAAGACAAGACCACATTCACCCTCTAGGTTAGCTGAGACCTCAATAAAACAGCACTTCGTGTCACATGACTCATTCAGTGACCCATTTGAACCTATCAAGTTACATAGCCAAGTTTTTGAGAAGTGTGGAGTATGGAGCATCAATATGGACAAGTATGTACACTGACCTGAAAAATCTTTAAAAATATCTCACATTAAGCTAATAATTGGGTCGAAGATTATGCAGTTTTGCTTCAAAGAAGAATTAAATCAGTATAAATCATTGCGTTTTTGTTTGTTTATACATAAGTCCATCGATTCAGTAATTTATCATATCAATTAACATACTTTGTTTTCTATAATTTGCTATAGTTTGTATTCATACTTTTTTGTCAATTTTTTTTTCAAAGCCATGCCACACCCACATCGGTTTCTTGGGAACAGTGCCCTTATGTGGGACCTGAAGAATGACGTGACCATCTCCACCCCCTGGTACCTGGGCTTGGTGTTCAGAACCAGAGCGAGAGAGGGGACGCTGCTGAAGGCCCAGGCTGGTCAGTACACCAGTCTGCTGTTCCAGGTGGGTACAGACACAGTATGGTTTGTTTCTACTGATGCCATCAAAGCCAATGCTAATCATAAAAATGAAAATAAGCACATGTTTTTTAGCTGTATCTAAACCATTTCTATTCATGCAAGAAAGTTATGCAATACAGCTCAAGAAATGGGTGCCTATTAGAGTCCCTTTGAGTCCCTTCCATTGACCATAAACTCATTCTTTCCATTATTGTGTGATATTACCTATTATTACATAGTTCAGAGTGAAACTTAATTGGTCCCCAATGCTCACCACTTTCACTTCGTCATGACTAAGGATTTTTAACATGGATAATCAAATGTTCTTCAGACATGGAAAGAAAGTGGAATAATCCTTGAATTTAGAATATTAGCAGGGGGATTTAAAATATAGTTTGGTGGACTATATTTCATTACTGTACTGACTATAATAATAATTGTTAATATTTTCGAGCACATCTGAGTGTTTAACTCCTTAGTCACTTACATTGACATCTGCATACTATGGGAACATTTAGGCTAGTAATTATGTTATTGGATGCATTTTAATGAATGTTATGAATTTTAGCTTTCATATCTTATTGACAAATAAAACATTTTTTTAAACATTATCTTCTTTCTAACCTCCAGTCTTTTATCTTAGAATGTAAATGTTTAAAATGTGGACTAAATACTCCAAGAATAAAGTATGGAGAGACTCTGGAAAGCTTCTGACTCTTTGCAATTTCAGTCCAAACATATTTAAACTGTAACATATGCTTTTTTGTTTTGAGTTTTTTTTTTATTATTATTTAAAAAAAAATGTTGTCTTTACAGCACTAGTGGCTCATTTTTCTGACAGTAGGTTGACAGGAAAGGGGGTATGAGAGAGGGGGAGAGACATGCGGCAAAGGACTACAGGTCGGATTCGAACCTGGGTCGGCTGTTTCGAGGAATGAGGCCTCTGTACATGGGTTATGCGCACTAACAACTGTTCCACCTGCACACCTGGATGCTCTTTAGCAAAAGCTAGAAAGAAGATGATACTGTGGTATCATTACCTTAAAGTTAGCCAGGAGAGCTTCTGTACGTTCAGCTTAAAAAATGTCTTATGATATTGTCTGTGTCTGTGAAGCTGTTTTCTACATACACAATGTTATCACGCAAACAACATTTATGTTGTGGGGTTTTGTTAGTGAACCCAACAGGAAGTTTTGATAAATTGATAAATTGTAAACTTAACAAAAAGGGTAAATCAAGAACTGCTTCCTTTGTTTTTACAAAGTAAACAAGGGTTTTGAGCTCCAAGTCGCCTACTTCATCTTACTCACTTCACTTTGATGGGAAATATAACATAATATGATAACATGGACTCTTTCAAATAATTATATAGAATATGCTGAATTTTTATATGAAATCTCATGCCATGAGATTTCATCACACCTGTTGCTAGCAAAGTTGTTTGCCTCTCTTTAAAATAAATTCTGATTAAGGTCGTTCTGAAGAGCATAAGACCTTTTCTCTCTTATGCTGTCACAGAAATTATACTCTCATTTTCTTTAGGTTTCATGCTGTGTTTTGAAGCTTTTCCGCTTTTATTAGACTAAATCCTGCCAGAAGCATATTGTAAAACACTGTTTTGAGGCAGCTAAATGTGTTAGATACAGTCCCATAGACGCTGACAATAACACATCATTCTCAGAATTGCACAATGACTGTCTATTTGGTGTTTAATGCTAAATTATAAGCTGCTGTGTAATGTACTTTAATAAGAGCCTTTTCGTTCTTAGAAAACTAATAAAAGCTTTAAAAGTCCCTGAATATTTGCAGCAGAGCAGCCATGTCATCAGATTTCATGCTCTAGGTTAATAATGTAAACACACTCACTAAAACATAAACTACATGCACAGATCTTTTCTTCTAAACCTCTTCTTGTTTTATAATCCCGTTTTGCTGTCATATGTTTTTCCATCTCTTACAGGTGATAAACGGTCAACTGGTTTTTTCAATAACCCATGGCTCCACCAGACCAGTACGCTTGCGTTTGGATCAGGTTCAAGTGGCAGATGGCCGTTGGCACGATCTCCAGCTGGAGCTGCGAGACGTCCACAGCGGCCGTGAGACGCGCTATGTTGCCACGCTGCGCCTCGACTTTGGGCTCTATCAGGTAATATGCCTTATACAGAACTAACTGAAAGGTATTAAGATGTTCCAGCAGCTAGGTCATTTCTGGGCTTTTTTTTTACAGAGTTTTCTAAACTAAATAAAAAAAATATATATTATTCACCCCATTAATTCAATGTTATTAATTTTGTTCAGGCCTTTTGGCCCATCAAGGTATAAACCTCAGATAGAAATGTTTGCAGCAGGCACAGGTTCTGTAAAATCCCTGCACAGAATCAGACTCCCCCTAGATGTGGGACACTAATCCTAGTTTGCCTAATCTCTGCTGGATTACTGTGTCAGATTATGATGGAGGACGTCTGTATGATGTGTGTGTCTGAAGAAAGCGGCAGCCCATGAGTTTAAAGAAGCAAATACGCTTTATTATTTTTGATTTGGCTAAAGTCGAGTAAACGCTTGTTTCATGTCGGGATTCTTAAATGATCCGAAGTTACATAATAACTTTCATCTCTTTGCTGCTGTTAACCAGGATGTTCCTGCAAGTGCATCAGAGAAAACACAGAAATAACTGCAGAAAGCATTTGGAGATGTGAAATAAACAGTAAACATTGCAGGAGAAAAGTAAACACTAAATATTTTTTTGATAGACAAGCAGAAAGTATATTTAATTAGCATTTTCTACAATAAAACAGCTAAACTAGTCAATCTAAAATAGTATCCTGTACATTTGAGTCCCCTTAAATCTGTTAGCCCTAAATGAACTAAAGTGATAACAATTGCATTCAGAATTCACCTTAATAGCATATTAATCCCCATTTATTTTATTTAAGGTCAGGTTCAATACAGCCACCACAAGCGGAATTATTTAGTAAAGCAGCAAACAGGCCCATGGTGGAGACTCAGACATACAAAGCTCAGATGTTAGATACTGTGTTGAAATGGTAAATATTAGTTGTACACTCCTGAAATCTGGCCTTAATGGGAGAATGTCCAAGGTAAAGCCATGGTCTGAAGAAAGCTGGAAGCCTAAAACAATTTAGAGACTTAGACACCATTTTACCTTCCAACAGAACAAAAACCACAAACATTTAGCCTGTAGTTAATACTATCCTGCAGGGGAGAATGGAGCAAAAGCTGACTTCTTATGCAAAGCTGGTAGAAAAAAAATGTTGATTGTGATTTAATTAAAGGTGAGCTGCACTACTTTTGTACAAAAGCAAACATTTACCATCTACTTAAGAATACAGATCTTCTTTTCATAATTTTTTGCATCTTATTTATTTTTGGTTTAAAAAATAAAAATTTGGTTTTGGTTTAAATTTTATGATATATAACCATTACTGTAAATATATGACAAAAACGATAATTGTCCCTTTAAACTAACCCCTTCACCTTCCTGTCTGTGCTTCCTATCAGGGAACAGTGATCGTGGGAAATGAGATTCATGGCTTGAAGGTGAAACATCTCCACGTTGGAGGAGTGCTGGGCTCTGGCGAGGTCCAGAGCGGGATTAAAGGATGCATACAGGTGAAGATTAAAGCAAAGAATTTTTCATGTATTTCAGACAGAGATAAGTTAAAGCTTTCAATGTCAGCCGTTTCTCATCTATTTATTACGTCACTGATGACCCGATTGCTTCTAACTACAGGGAGTTCGTCTGGGCATGAGGCCAGATGCCCCTGCACTCCCGCGTCCATCCAAAGCCATCAAAGTAGAGACTGGCTGTAACGTTGGAAATCCCTGTGTTTCATCCCCTTGTCCAGCTCACAGCCGCTGCTCTGACGTCTGGGAGCGCCACACCTGTATATGTGAACCTGGTGAGGTCATACACAAATTGTTTCCCATGTGAAGTTTTTCTTCATGCGGCTATACTACTATAATACTTCACTGTTACTGCAGTATTTAGAAGGCCTCGGCTGTATATTTTTTAACTTCAGTTCCTAGCTGAGAATTTATTTCTGCATTCTGATGAGTTTTCAAAGTATCAGACATCACAGCTAACTCTCCACACCCTCCTTCACCTGGCCACTTTTTCTGTGCTTTGTCTAATGCAACGAAAAAGGCCTTGTAGGAATCGGATCAATATGACTCCAAATAGGCCTTAGATCAATAAGACATGTGAATATTGGAGCAGTTTTTAGTAAGTGAACAGAGCTCAGATCTGCCTTTGGAATAAAAGATTACTCAAAGTCAGCTCTCTTTTTGCCAAAAAGGTGAGAGGCTCTGTCCAGAATCCCTTCAATAGTTATAACTTTCTCATCTCAGAAGACATTAAGCCTTTAAATAAAGGACCTGTTCAGTCGCAGCAGCAGACTGCGATCCTCTTCCATCATGCATGTGCACAACATTGGTTTTCTTTTTTATGTTGTTGCTAGAGGGGGGCAAACATCTGCAAATACTTTAGAATGGATGCTATGCTCCTTTAAAGATAGATGAATGCTGTATTCCATTCTAGCTCTAAAAATGTACTGCTGTGCTTTAAGTTTGAATTTCTTAGGTGTTTAGGCTTTCTGAAGGGTCTTAAAAGACATGAAATATTATTTCAATCTGAAAAACTCACAGAGAGAGAAAGATGCAATTAGAAGAGTTTATTGATATGATAGTTTGAACTTTGGCGCTCAGGCCTCGGCAGGAAACATAAACGCTGATTTATAAATGCAGATAAACTGATGTATGAGAATAAGGATATTCCCCCCGGGCCTGAAACTGGTGGTGGAGTTTAGATAGATGAAGTTTGGTTAATCCATAGAGGCTGGTATACAGGGTGATGCTTGAGTTAGATGTCACTGAATGAACAAAGTTTGCATAAACTGTCCATGAAGAGCAAGCATGAAGCGACTGTGGAGAGAAAAAACTCCCCTTTGGGAAGAAATCTCTGGCAGAACCAGGCTCAACGTGGCGGTCTTCTGCCGGACCGTTTAAAGTGACAGGGAACTCCATGAAAGTCTGGAGGGAGTACACACTGGAGGTGAGGTTGAAGGAGCATCGAGGAGGAGTCGGATGAGCTTACTACAATAGTGGAGAAGGGGATGGAGGTGGGTTGTCTGAATCAAAGTCCGACATAGGAGCGATAGATCTTGCGCTTGTTGAAGAGCAGGCCTAGAGCTGATTTGGAGTGGCTTTAAGTAGAGTGCTGGAAGATGATTGGGCATCGAGGAAAGTGGCTTGAAGCGGGTTGGCTGCATCGGAGGCGGATCAGCCTCAGATTGAATGGAAGTTCTTCAGTTGAATTTCCGCCTTAGCTTCATATTATTCAATCATCTCAACTTCAGGCCTCATAAGTCTTAAATAAGTTTTATTTTTTATTATTTGTATTGTATTTTTTTTTCATTAACTATTTCCCTCTTTTCTTTCATTGGGTTAAAGCTTCTATCCAACCCATACATCAGAGTTCTAACAGTGGGATTTCGGCAATATTATAATTTGACAAAACTAGATTCCTTTGTAAAGTGCGACAAACAGAACATTTCTCTTATGCATAAAAGTAAAGCAGCAAAGAAAAATAAAACTGTCTATTTATAGTTTTTACAGGGAAATAAAATCAAGACATTCTAATGAGGTGTTTAGATCCAGATTTTTGTCATGAAAAGTTTTTTAGTAAAAGTGGGTTTGCTAGTTAACTGAATTTAAGGAAAATTTGTTGGTGTGAGGTTACTGTGCTAAATTGCACTGCGGTAATATTAGACCTCGCACAAAGGAACTGGAGTCACAAAATACCAACTTCAATAAAACAAGCTCTATTTAACATCAAGATAAAGTTAAAGATCAGCCACTAGATCATTGAGTTATTCAGTTCACCTATTTGTATGATTGATATAGATCTAATCTCTACCAACTCCAGTTGTTATAAACTTTTATTTTAAACTTTGTATTTTTTTGTTAGTCTTTTGCTTATAGATATGAGCAAATTCAGACAAATAACAGTTGTTGTATTTTTCTCTAGCCTTTAATTCATAAGGTAATAACTACTTTTCCTACCTAGAAATGCATTTTCCCAGTCTACTGCATTTTGGAAAATGGCTAAAAGAGACAGGACATTGCCTCATATTAGTTATGCAGTGAAACAGGAAGATCCTCTTGCTGTTTTTGTTATACCTTCTGTTTATGCAGATAATATGAAGAATAATTCATTTAAAAAAGCTGTTTCTTTATATTATGTATTATGTAAATAAATAGTTTGAGCCCGTATTGGATATTTTCCCTCCTGAATGAACACAATCCAACTGAACATTCATAAGTATGAGAGGAAGAGCAATTCACTGGAATACAAGGCTTCTTAAGGATTCTTTGTAAAAGATCCTAATAAATGTGCGATGGTATTACACAGGGGCGGATTTAGGAAATGTGGGGTCCTAGGCAAAGACAGGCAGGGGGCCCTCTGAATTGAGAAGACAACACATAAAACAGAACCTTGATAAACATACAGAAATTTCAATAGAATAGACATACATTTTTTGCTCTATGTTTTGTCCCTCTCTTCTTGTCCCTTTTCTTGTTGTTTTAATCTCTATGTTTTGTACTCAGCTGACTTTTCATGCGACGGCAAAATAAATGAAAGACTTTTTCCAACCACTAAGCCCATTCTAACTTCGCTTATTGGTCCCTCCTTTGTTTCCAAAAAGGCGACGGCAAAAGTAAATAGCTCAGTCCTTCTTTTCAGTGTAGACAAGCCATGATCTGCTTATCTGTTCTCCATTTTTCATTTATATGAATTATTAGCTGCGTGAATCATGACAGGAGACAAGATAGAGGAGAGCAGGGTTACAAATCTACTTGCTCTGGAGAGCAGAGTTTGGTGATTTTATATGTTGTCGCCAAAATCTCCAGCAGCAGAAAAAAGTCGCTAGATTTGACACTAGATGCTTTTTTTGAAATAAAAGTGTTAGATGGGTTTGAAAAGTCGGCAAATATAGCAACGAAAGCACTAATTTGCCAACACTGCTCTTGGCACCGTTTGTTTTAAAACAGTTTGCTGCTGTCTGTTTAGACCTTTTTGCACATGTTTAGCAAATTGACTGATCCAATGTGGTGGACACTGAAGGGGAGGGTCTGAGACAGACTTAATAATATAAGCCATGTGATGGTATTTGAAGAAATTGTTGTATTAACCATACATGTAAACAGAGTTTTATTGAGCCCCCAGAAACTTGGGGCCCTAGGCTTGCCTAATTCTAAATCCCCCTCGGTATTATATGATGTGGTGTCAGTGAAATTGTCTGTACTGGAATAAAATAAAAAGATGTCACAGCAAAGTGACGGAGGCTCCACCACTGAGACAAAGGAACATAATTACATGCCGATATCTCCATAGGTGTCTGCCAGCTTTTTGACTGGGTTAAATTGATAGTTGGGTTGATGATGAATTGATGGTTGAGGACAGGCTAACCTCCAAATCCTGTTAAGCGAATATAACGAGGACAAATTAATATGCTGAGAAAAAAAAACTGTTTTAAAGGAAACATGGAGAAAGGAGAAGAGACAGATGAGAGAAAATGAAAAACATGGTGTTTGTGGAGAGATGGAGAGAAGGAGAGAAACAATAGGAATGCTAAAAAATACAAAGGAAGAACAAAGGCACCAAAATCTTTTAATGATTAATGAGCTGAAAAAAGCACGAGGCAGAAACGAAAGTTTGCCTTGTTTAAAACCCAAAGTGCAAAAATGTACAAAAAGTTTTGAGGCAACCCAAAGAAGATGGAGAGAAAAAATCTAATCAAATAGCCTGAAAGCTTTTGTGACACATTTGGGATTAGATGCACTAAAAAGGCCCACACAAAAGTGCAGGGAAATTAAGATGACAGCCGGGTTCACAACAGAGAAACAAGTGTGAAAGCTGAAGAGAGAGGGTGAACAGACGTCTGGTAATAAATCAGAGATTTATTAACAACAGCTGCAGGTCAGTTCTGCAGGTATTGATTAAACATGCAAGACCAACTGAGCAGAGATGATGAAGGCATTTTATTCATACTTATGATTAAAGGAGAGAGGGAACCAAAGGTCTGATGGTATATTAATGAAGAAAGAAAAAGAAGAACAGAATAACTCCATTACTCCATCAGACAGCTCATACTACATTTGATTGCCTCTCCCAGTTTTGATTTTATATCTAGTAGTACAAAGGTATTATAAAACAACTGAACAGGTTTGATTTTTTTATTCAGGCAAAATAATAATACTGTTGACCAATCATATCAGAAAAAAAACATAAAGTTTGTGAAACACATGAGCTTCTGACTGTTGTTTATTTCATCCACTCTCTTTACAAAAATGTGCACTGATTGGATGAGCCCTGTCTTACACACAATCATTACATCCAGTATTATGTAAGATTGAATCTTTTTTTCTGAAGAAGAAGAACTTTTTAATTCAATGATGTTGTTCTGTATCGAAAGTAACCCCAAAGGATTAATATTGCAGATTGTTGTCAACACTAACCCTGTCGATTTTTTTGCTGTCAGATTAGGATTTTTATCACTCTGCAAGATATATCTATTCATACTTTTTTATCGGGCATTAATCTTGTGAGAACCCAACTACACCAAGGTTCAATTATCTCATCCTAGAACTTTAATTTCTGTAGTTCTGGCACATGCCGGTGGAGAAGTGCTTAAAGTAATTTCTTCATTTCTATTTAATTATTAGGACATTTGAAAGTCATAATGAATTAAAGCCTAAGATTTTGAGCAGTAAAAGTTATTTTATAATGCATTTCAGTTTTCAAACATTTTCTAATGCTTTGTTAAAAAAAAGTGACATGCTCTGTGATGATTTTTAAAAGATCAGATTTTTAAAAGAAATGTAAGAAAGAAAAGAAATG